TAGATAATGCCTCTAAATTTTTCAAGCAAATACTATCGCAACTAATTCTAAATCATGCATTAGATAATTCACTTCAGTTGTTTAGAAACATTAGCAATCACTTTCCTATTCTACATTAAAATACATCCTAAACCCTTCAAAGACGCATCATTGAATATCTAAAATCTATCAATTCCAAATGTAATTGCTAACACCTTTACAAAGGTCAATCATCTTTTAAGCTCCTTAAAACCACATTCACATACTTCTGTTCAATCGAATTTAACATTTTTTCTTATCAATCTAGAAAGTCGTAAAGTAATTTGTGAAAATCCCTCCATAAATCCTCTATAATAATCATCCAACCCATCAAATTTTTTATCTCAAACACACTAGTTGGCCTTAGTCATTACACTACTACTCTCACCTTCTCAGGATCAACTGATATATCTTTACCACTAATGATATGTCCCAAGAAAACAACAATATTACTTGGCCAAAACTCTCACTTAAAAATTTGTAATAATCTATACTCTCTCAGCAAACCCAAAACAATCCATATTTGATAATAATGATCATCATCATTCTTGGTATAAATCAATATATTAATAATAAACACTTACAAACTGATGAAGATAAGGCTTGAAGATTTTATTTATCATATCCATGAATACTACTAGGGTATTGATCAATCCAAAAAGCATAACTAAAAATTCATAACCTACACTATACACCAAAAGTTATCTTTGCAATATCACTCTCCTTCATCCTGACTTGATCGTACAAGATTTTAAATCATTTATAAAAAATATAAAATCTCCAGCTAATTGAATAAGGAAATTATCAATCCTCAAAAGAAGTTATTTTCTCTTAATAGTCGCTTTAATCATATCTCTGTAACATATGCACAATCTCATCATACCATCCTTCTTGTCCATAAATATAATATGAGCACTCTAAGGAGATGTAATGAGTTTGATGAACCCCTTCTCAATCAACTCTGATAATTGACTCTTCAACTCTTGCAACTCCTTATTAACCATTCTATAAGGTGTTTTAACAATTTTTATAATTTCAAGCTGAACATTTGTTGTAAATCTCCTTTTTTGTTGGCAGACCAGCAAGCTGCTTAATCAAAAAAAAAAAAAAAAAATCATTCACTATAGGAATACTTCTTATCTCACCAATTATTTCTTTGATTGATTCAAATTTAGCCCATCGTATTAATTCACCAATCTTTCTTCATTTATTCAACCTAACAGAATTTTTCAGAGATGACATTATTTCTTTCGCACATTAAAAGTAAAATGTCCAATCATTCGGAAAATCAAATGAGTCTCTCCTTCCAGTATTCAATGGAAGCATAATATTTAGTCAGCCAAATCCAAAATTACATAAAACTCAGTCAATAATATAAAAACAACAATAACATCAAGCCTTTATCCCATTATGTGAGATTGGTTACATGAATCTTTTTTCTCCATTGTCTTGTTAAGAGTCAAATTCTCATTTAAATCTAATAAAGAAATGTCATTTCTAATATTTTTTAACATGATTTTTTAGATCTACCTCTACTTTTCTTAACATAAGCCAAATCTAATACATATACTCTTCTAAGTGGGTCATCGAAAATTGTCGTTCTATGTCACCAAACCATTTAAGATGTCTCTTTCTATTCTTACCTAGTTACCTTCCATTGGAGTTACTCGACCCCTTTTCACGTATATGTTCATTTCAAATCCTATCTCCAAGAGTAAAGCCACTAATCCACCTAAGTATCCTTATATTTGTAACACTTAACTTAATATTATGCTTCTTTTTTAATGGTCAACATTCTGCACTATAAAGAATTGCAAGTCTCACCACCATCTTATAGAATTTTCCCTTAAGTTTGAGGGATAATTTTCCATCACACAACAAGCCCGATGCATTCCTCTGCTTCAACCATCCAACTTGAATTCTACTAATAATATCTCCATCTATTTCACCATCACCTGAACAATAGACCCAAGATATCTAAAATGTATACTCTTATTAATGACTTGATCGCCAAAGTCACAATCCCTCCATTATAGATATATTACTACTAAAATTATACTCCATATATTCGGTTTTAGATCTACTAAAACGAAAACCTTTAGACTCTAAGGTTGACCTTCATAATTCAAGTTTACCTTCAACTCCATAATTCAAGTTTACCATCATAAAAGAAGAAGAAGATTAGAAAGAAATAGGTGGAGGGAGGAAGTGAGAGTTAAGAGAGAGAACCAATTTGAGAGGTCGAGCTAGGCGTTGGGTTTGACTTGAGGTGGCCAGCTATGTTGCACCGATATGGATACGGCAACACGGATACGACACGATACGGATACAGGACACGGTAATTCTTAAAAATACAGGATACGGATACGGCGCGGATACGACATTATAATATATTAAATATTTAAAAGCATAATATTTGAAAAGTAAAAAAAAAATGAAAGCAACAACATTTGTAGCATTATATCTTATAATATCAAAATAAAAGTAAGCATTAAATATTTAAATGTCTAGTACAACAACAACAAAAAAAACATAATTTGTCCAGCAGATGAAGTTTTTAATTAAAAGTAAGAAGGATCGACATAATTAATCATCATGAATTTGAAACATGAAAATTTTTAATAAAAAGTATAGATATGTTGCGCCTATGCCGAGGTCCAAGGGGGCGATGCCCCCTGGCAGGTCGCGGGGTCAAGGGGCAACGCCCCCGAAACTAATTTTTATTGTAAGAGTTGCTTTAAAGTTTTCTCTGCCTTCTCGGCACTGCTTGGTACCATTCGGTACCCCTCTGTACCGAGCAGTATCCGAGTGATACCGAGTTCCGATACCGAGCAGTACTGAGTTCTAGTATCGCTCAGTACCAAGCAGTACCGAGTGGTATCGAGTATCGAGCAGTACTAAGTTCTAGTATCGCTTGGTACCGAGCGGTACCGAACAGTATCGAGCAGTACCGAGCAATACCGAGTAATGAGCAGTACCGAGTACCAAGCGATATGCGTGTCTGATCAAATTTAAATAATATTTTAATTGGACAAGGCAAAGCCGTATCGGAGGCGTATCCGTATCTAACACGTGTCTGATACAGCATGCCTCATAAATAGGCGTATCCGTGCAACATAGGACATATATGAGAGCAAGAGTATCGAGAGAAGGAGAGTGGAGAAGCGTGAGCATCGAGAGAAGAAAAGGCGAGGGGAGGCCTCCTCGGTGTGGTTGTTCGCACGAGATGGAGGAGTAGAGAAAGGCAGGGGTCATCAGAGAAGCTTTCACGGGAGAAAAAGATCGGGCTCACAGGGGTCGGGGTCGGGTTTTGATGGAGTGTAACGGAGTAGTATTTCGAATGAGAAGAATGTTATTTAGGTGATATATGAGTAAACAGTATAGTTTAGTTAGGTATGTAAAAACAGTAATTTTAGGTATTATGTAGGTAAAAAGCCCTTGATTTTAACATAATGTTGACACTCATATGAACTTAATTGCTAGTTTTTACATTTAGTTTTTACATTCCAATGTCAGCAACATAACATAAAATTTATAGGTAGTATATTTTATTAGTTATCTAATATAATATACCTACATATATTTTCATTACAACATTCTGACCCCACGTAGTGGGATAAAGGCTTGATGTTGTTGGTTGTGGTGGTGGCGTTGTTCTTGTATAGCTAGACTTATAATATCATCATAACTATGGATACATCTAACAAAAGATTTACCACCATTAATGTGAGTTTACAAAAAATTTTGAATGACGTGAAGATCTTATTCAATCCATTACAAAATATAGGAAATATAAGAATTGCCATGATTTAAAATTTGATAAAAGTCTACATTGAAATGACTTTTGTCTCCAATTTTAATAGACAGCAAAATTCTAATAGTATATTGGACTGTTAGCTTATTTTGATAATGTATTCACTAAGAACCACATGATTGATGAAAGTTGTATTAGAATTGTTTACGCTAAGTTGGTAATTGTGCTTAAATATTTTGGAAAAAGGCTCAGAATGAAGATAATCCTATTACTATATGAGCTAAGATGAAATACAAACTTAAGCAGTCATATCTGTCACCACAACACTATATGCAATCAATTGAAAAACTTCTAAACCTTAGCAAAAACTCTTAAGTGTGGAGAAGTAATTTGATAAGTTTGAAGAGTCATTTGAAATGTGTTTTCTTGAAAAATCATAAAATATTGCACCAATATTCATTAACGGTCGTAAGAAAAACATTAGATAGAAAATAAGTACTTATTATCACAAGACAATAAATATGACTTACTCTAAATATATAAAGATTGAATTATATCTTAAGTAACCTCTTGTTATTTTTATTGATCCATCCCTTGATGAACCTAAAATAACAAAATCTGCTAATGATCCACGCGCACAAGCAACAGCATCCACAAACTTAAGTCAAGACTCATCTTATTTAGAATTTTACAATCCATGAAATTTTTAGCCCTTCTAATGCTGACTTAGGTTTAAAAGAATATTACCAAATCAAGAATGTAGCTTTACAATGCAATTTATCTACGCTTGAGACTATATCTGTTTCTGAACATAAGCCCAAACGTGAGTGAGTCATGAAAATGAGAATCAGATCGAATCTAATATAATGTTTTTGGCAAGCAATTATTTTGGTTCAAGATTACTTTCCTCTATTTTGTTACCTAATGTATTTTAAGAAACATCGTGAAGTCATTTTTCTTAGCTACTACAGCTAATTAAATGAATTTGATACTTCATTTCTTCTGAATTGAAAGCCTAACCTTCTATTAATTGCATAAGTATTATATAAATTTTTAGATAAAAACAAAAAATATTTTAAGAGTGAACCAATCCAGTTCTCAGAAAAAAGGAATATCAATCTACTGTGGATATTAAATAAGTTCTTTGTTTTTAGTTCACGAGTAACTCAATTTTGCTAACCACTCTATTATGTGACTTAATCTTGAAGTAAAAAAGAAAGAAAATAGATAAGATGGCTCAACAAATTGCCCATTCCAATTGGGAACTTTTATAAACACATATCAATATATGGGTGGACAAAAACATTAATTTACATAGTTTTCAATTGTAAGATGCTAAAGTAATGCCGCGTGTATTGCAATTCAAGTTCAAACTACCATATCCTTGAAACAAATGACAAGCACAACCCAAGAAGATACTGTAACATGCTGACGGTTTAACTATCTCATGAACCTGATGTGTATGTGTAGCGAGTTTGAGCTCCAATTAGCAGTTCAACAATTTTACCTGCAACAACAAGTGAATTTGTTTCCTTAGAAAACTTAACTAAGCAACTTACCAAAGAGACAGAGCATGCCATCATATCATCAATGTCAACTAAACAAATGAAACAGGTGCCATTAAAATGTAAAAGAAATTGAGGAAAACCTGTGAGGAACCCAAGAAATGGGACCGGATTCATAAAGTTTTCAATTTTTTCAAGACGATGCCTGAGAAAATGGAATGTGTTAGAAACGATTCCAGTATAAAAACTACCTTGTAGCGGTACATGGAAAACTATATACATACTTTGTATGCTTAGTAAAGAATGGATCTCTCATGACATATAGTGCCCATATCAGTTTCCGTCTTTTGATCTAATCAAGGTGAATGATAAAAAATATTAAAACCAAGGAAAGTGCCACTAATAATCACAAACACATCACACAGAAAAAAAAAAAGTTATTTCTCACCTAGTTTAAGAGAAAAGAAAAACTATCATAAAACAAATTTATTGCAGCTTTTAATAGATTTGAACCAGAATGTATACTTTATAGGGAAAAAATCATCATAATTCACAACAGAGAACTGCACTTTACTTGCCTCATCTTTCTCTGGTGTAGAAAGGTGATAAAGTTTATCTCCATTTTTGGTACCCGAGCTTGTTCCATATAAGAGAAAGCTCAATCCAGTAAGTTCGATAGCCAAAGAAAGAAACCAAGGCTTCCAAGCTTGAATTCCATGTTTTCGAATCAAAAGAACATAAATAAGTGGCCTCAATATAGAGATAAATTCTCCCACCACAAAAGACATGCCATAAACTCCTTTCTGGGACAAAATGGTTGAAAGAGTTGGCTTCTTGAACATCATAGCTGTGATCAAAACATTAATTTGCAAAAACTCCATCATCAAGGAGACCTCAAACTCTTACGTGAAAACAAAGATGATTGCTATCTACAAAAGCAGTTTATACCATGAGGTTGGGAAATATAATGAAAGCCGTTCAACAACTTTTGATCAGATGCCATCCTAGCCTTGTCCCCAAACCTGTTCAGTGCTGCCATGGCTCTTCCTTCTAGACTTGAAGGTATTTGACCATTAAAATGGTGTAATTGCCCGGGTCCACAATATCCAGCACTCATTTCGGGATTCCTGGATCCTCCAAGATGAGGTTCTGGAACCCCAGGAAGCTTCTTTGCATTAAGAACCTCCCCGCCTTGAAGAAGCATATGATATCCACTATCATGAAATGAACCTAATCTAACCAATGCCCTGAATTGAAACTACAAACGTCACCCTCAAAGGTTTTAAAGAAAAATCAAGTAAAATTCAGCGCAATTGGTCGATAAAGAATTGTCTTACTTCGCTAATTCCATGAATATAATGAAGTTCCACTTCCTGTCCTTGCCATAGAAGTGCTCGGCAGCAACTTCAACTACTGTCTCCAAATCTTTGAGTATGGAAATGCATAAAGACCATGGAATCTGTTCCTCTGAACCGGGAGGCTGACATTTTCCGGAGCTTGTATTGATTATGTGTTGATTCACAGCGCTGACTATGCCCAGGAAAGCATATACTGTAAAATCAACTCGAACATTTCAAATTGCAATACGCATATAAAATTAATCCAACTTTTACCCTTTCTTAATTTCATCCACAACAGGAAGTGAAAACCGATGAATCAAAACAGGGAAACAAGCATGATTATCACAATTAGAATAACAAAAACAAAAATATCAATAAAAGTTACCAAAATTGCACAGAACCTGCTTCGGAACCTATCTCGTTGTTGGAGAAGCGCTCTGGAAGAAGCCATGTCAAGCCCTGGGCAATGAATCAAGACTAGAATTAGGCAACAAGAGGAATAGCAGATGCAAAATGTTTACTTTCGCCAGCTTCAGATAAAGTAGTTGGCTTGCAGAGATTTCGACTCGCGCGTAAATAGGTCACAAAAAAACAGATGCTCCAAGCGACCAGAAAACAGATACAAAATCGAAGGCAAGAAAGAGGGAAGTTAGGGCTTTAGTTACATTTGCGAGGGATTCCAGGGACTGCACGAATTCCCTGTTTTTCTGCACCCAAAGCTTGTAGCCTTCCATGGCTGCATATGCCTTCCTCAATTTCGATCCCCTTGAAATTTGTTTGAATAAATACGAGTAAATGTTTTTTTTTTTTTTTTTTTTTGGGTTTTACGTCCACGCCATTTTATTGAAATATGGGCACATTAAAATTTTAATATTTTATATTTGTAATTTATATATCAAATATGGGCATATTGAATAAAATATTAAAAATTATAGAGCAACATGAAAATATTTCATTCATTGCATCAATATTTGATCTATAAATTATAAGCATAAAATATTATATTTTTTAATATTAGATATCTAAATAGGATGATATAAAGTGATATGTATAAAAATTTCCCTTTTTATTAAAAATTTGGCTTTATAATGTAGGAATATATATGTCGAAATTTTTTTTACTTATTTTTAAATATATATATATTCGTAGTTTATTTCACATTAGAACAGGTCTTTCAACAAAAATCATTTTGATCTAACATGAATCACAAGACATTTAAATTAAAAATTTTCAAATTAAAATCGAGACCATCTGAGTTGTAATCTCAAAAAACTTAATTTCAAACTGAACATCTTTACAATACAAACCAATGACACCAAAATTCACCTAATCCAAGCTCAAATGGCCTCAAATTAAGGACCCAAAATATATTTAAAGGTTTTAAAGCATTAATTGAATGACTAAATGATATACAAATATAACATGTTATAGCTGAATCTAGTGGCTAAACGAAACAAATCCAAGAAGCCCAAGATCACTTAACTTTGACATTATCATTAAGGTATTAAATACTTATTGAATGCCCCGTGATTGAGGAAATCAATATGGGTCGTCTGATGGAGCAGTCCGAATTTGTGTTGGATCTTCTCTATATTTATGGAGCATGCCACTCTAAAAATATATAAATAGACCTCTACTCTTCATATGAAGGAAAGTTGGAGGAGGCTTAGACCTTGGGCTAGAGATTTAAGTGATGAATCTCGAAGCACCGCCGTTAATGAACCCTCACCACCCAGCCATCACCATTGGACTTTCATCGACTAATCATCACAGACATCCACCCGGTCACCTCTACCGGACCTAAGCCAAGCATTGCCGCCGAACAATAGTTGTTGGACTTTCATCTCGTTGCCACCATGTGGTGTTTTTAACAAAATTGATATGTATCTTTAATTTGGTGTTTTTAACATTTTCAAGCACAATTGTCGACCAATTGGCCATCAATATTTAATTTATCGTCATTGTTCATCAATCTTAAGTAAAATCAAAAATGGCTTTCAATAATCATTAAGAGTCACCACTCTCTATCTGTCGACATAAGTCGGTCAATCGATTACATGCTACAACCAGGATTATACCACAAACCTTTTATTTAAAATAAAGCTCATCGACCCACTTTCTTACACATAGTATTATATTTTAAGAGCTAACCCAAATTAATTATAATATCAACAATCATCATTCCTTTAATTACACTATGCAAAGTCAATATCAAATATGAAATACTATATTTTAAGAAATATAGGAAAATTTGTACAATATGCACTAACTTAAGAAAAATCATAATTATCAATCTACTTCATAAAATTATATAATATTACAAAGGTATAAAAGCTTAATAAATCAGAAGAAAATCTACGGGAGATATAAAATACTTAAAAAACAAAATCATTGAAAATTTTAGTAAGAGCTAGTTACTTACAATGAGTAGAATAAATTTGTAATAAGAAAAACATACAAAAAAGCCCAAAGAATTTCTCTCTCCATTTTGTTCTTCTCCTCCTCAAATTTTAATTAGGTCCGGACACATGACGTAGCTCTACATCCAGACGCCAATAAAATGTCACCATGTGCTCTTACTCTTTACCGCGCGGGCCGACTACCCGACCCTGACCGGAACCCAATATTGATATGTATTAGCTGATTTGTACAGACCAAGGTATTGCTAGGTTTTGCTCGGTATTGCTCGGCAATGAGAAATATCATTCTGTCAAGACCAATACCTAGCAATACCGAGCAATACCTCGGTTTTGCTAGGTATTGCTCGGTATTGCTAGGTATTGCTCGGTATTGGTCTTGACAGAGTGGTATTCTCGTTATTGTCAAGCAATACCTAGCAATACCTAGCAATACCGAGCAATATCTAGCAATACACGAACATAGCAATACCGGGCTTTTATTTCGGGTCGGGTCGTCGGGCCGCGCGGTAAAGAGTAAGAGCACGTGGCGACATTTTATTGACGTCTGTATATAGAGCTACGTCAGGTGTTCGGACCTAATAAAAATTCCTCCTCCTCGCCTCTTTCCCCGGCAAAGAATGAAATAAGAGAGGGGAGAAGATAATGACAAGGATATTTAACATTAAATATATTAAAAAATTATTTTTGTATTTGACGTCGGAACACCCATGTAATAACCCATATTTAACCTACTGAAATAAATTTTGAAGAGTTATTATAAGTCCAAATCACAAATTATTTTGTTATAACATATATATTATAGTGATTTAATTATATTATTTTTTTCATAATTTTTGTTCATTAGTGCAAATCCTTAAGAAATTTTCTATAATTTTTGCAGCCGCAAAAAAAATTATATGAATTTTATACTAAAAATTGATTAAATTATATAATTATAATATTATTATATTATTATTAATTATTAAATCTAAATCCATTAACAGAATCTTTTAATTCACCTTTTACATTCTTTTGTCGCAAGCTAGAGAAGAAATTAGGGAAAATAAGAGAAAAAGTGAGAAGAGAGAAAAGAAAACTTAGGATTTGGAAGCTATAAAGTAATTTTCATCAATCGATTATGTTGGAAGATTTACTCATCTTATTGTAAGAAACTATTATACTATTTCCAATTTCAATAATTTGATATTTTTAGAATTTTTTTGATCAAATTTTTATTTTTGTTATCGAAAAATGAGAATAATATTTGTATTGGTAAAGCTTTCATCATGTAGCTTTTTATATCTTATAGAGATTGAGATTATGAACCTTTTAAATATTTATTTCAGATGTTTTACCGGATGATTTGAAAAAAGTAGAAATTTTTATCAATTCAAAATTTTATTTTAACATCTAAAAATAGTATTTTAGTTTTATTAAAACTTTAGAATATTGTTATATATGATCTATGATAATTTGATTAATTTAAAAAAATATAAAATTATACTCAGTTGGGTTTTCTGTTCCTACCGTTATGATATTTTAACACTTTCTTAATTCAGCCTAATTATGCTTTATTTATTGCAATTCATTGGAAATGAATATGGGTATGCTATTGAGTAATAGCTAGTCCCTATTATTATTATAGTACTATGATAATAATATGTGTGTGAAAAAACAAATAATGATGGATTATTCATAATCCATCCATTGATGTATGTTGGTTGGAGACGAATTAACTTATATAAGATGGTGGCCGACAAACTTTCATTTAAATACTGTGGTTTGCTTATATCCTCTATTGATTCACGTGTTTTACTAATTGGAAGTTATAATGAGAGAATTACTGTACTGATGGACAAAGAGTGACAACTCTTTTTTATTGGGCTAACAGTTTACCGATATTTATACACTGTTAGAAATTTATTGATTAAGCCAGAACTTTTTACTTGTTTAGTATTACTTCTGAAAAGTGTGTTATTGAGGTATTGCTCATATTATTGTACAAATTTGTTATTACTACATAGATTTACTATTACGACATTATTTTATTTCTCCTGCCATTGATTTTATTTTATTGATGCAGACACTGATACTATTTGATATTATTTATTCATTCGATTGATACTGAGTATGTGACATACTGAGTACATAATATACTGAGCATGTGAACTCTACAGGAAAAACGTCAAATACCGGCGGTTTTTTTCGGCGGTTGGGAAAGCAAAACCGGCGATTTTTTTAGGCGGTTGGGAAAGCAAAACCGGCGGTTTTAAATTTTACCAGCAGTTTTTCGGCGGTTTATATTGGCGTAGGAAACTTTTTCCGACGGTTACTTTAGGCGGCAGTTTTCCGGCGGCGGATGCCGCTGGTGACTACCGGAATTGTAACCGGCGGTTCTCCGGCCGTTAAGCCGCCGGTTATATTACCGACGGCTAACCGGCGGTCACTTTACCGTTAAACCGCCGGTTCATATTGATGTCCGGCGGTTTGCCGGCGGTTTATGGACCGTCGCTAGTACCGACAACTTAACGTACCAAACCCATCGGTTAGGCCGCCGGTAAAAATCGGTGGTCAAACCGCCGGCGACAACACCGGCAACACCGGCGGTCTATAAACCGCCTGTTATAACCGCCGGTAATAAGCATTTTTCCTGTAGTGGAAATATTCGATAGCATGTGTAGACTATTTTAAGGTTTTACATTATTAATATGATTCTAACAATTTTTATTAATGCTTTGATTTTATTAATTATAATATTTTTTTAATGATTGTTAGTACTAATTCATTGACTGCTTTATTAATCTAATGCAATTTGATGCCCATACTAGTTTACTAATTTCCTCATTGTATTATTTTATGGTATATATACTTTATTGTTACTACTTATTGCATGTTAGGTTTCCTATTTCTACGCATATTCATAAATCATATAAATGTTATTGTTATTACTCGACTACTCACATGTATATTGCTCCTTTATTGTTCTTTGAGTTTAATTATTAGATTTGTTTTACTTTTAGGGTGCTTGAGCTTATCATACATTATTAAATTATTTCAAGTCACGATAAGGGAGTAGGTGTGTGAGATTAATCAGGATCCTTCAGGTTTAGATTATTATTCTTTTAGCTTTTTTTTTTTTACTCAGGACATAGTAGTTGCGATATGATTGTGTAGGTCTTAAGTAATGTAAATGATTTTGAATAAATAAATAAATATGTATATATTGATGTTGTAATTGATAGTTTCACTTATGCTGGTGGTTATATTAATAAAAGAAATTAGGTACCTCAGGTTATTATTTATTAAAAAAAAAGAACAATTCTTTCAAATTAGATTTTGGGACATTACAGCCCATCTACTACAGCATCGCATCATTGCATATGAAAGAGCCTTGTGTCGCAACTCCACC